ATAGTATAGTATAGTATAGTATAGTATAGTATAGTATAGTATAGTATAGTATAGTATAGTATAGTATAGTATAGTATAGTATAGTATAGTATAGTATAGTATAGTATAGTATAGTATAGTATAGTATAGTATAGTATAGTATAGTATAGTATAGTATAGTATAGTATAGTATAGTATAGTATAGTATAGTATAGTATAGTATAGTATAGTATAGTATAGTATAGTATAGTATAGTATAGTATAGTATAGTATAGTATAGTATAGTATAGTATAGTATAGTATAGTATAGTATAGTATAGTATAGTATAGTATAGTATAGTATAGTATAGTATAGTATAGTATAGTATAGTATAGTATAGTATAGTATAGTATAGTATAGTATAGTATAGTATAGTATAGTATAGTATAGTATAGTATAGTATAGTATAGTATAGTATAGTATAGTATAGTATAGTATAGTATAGTATAGTATAGTATAGTATAGTATAGTATAGTATAGTATAGTATAGTATAGTATAGTATAGTATAGTATAGTATAGTATAGTATAGTATAGTATAGTATAGTATAGTATAGTATAGTATAGTATAGTATAGTATAGTATAGTATAGTATAGTATAGTATAGTATAGTATAGTATAGTATAGTATAGTATAGTATAGTATAGTATAGTATAGTATAGTACAGCATATAGTAAAGTAAAGCATAGTATGGTATAGTATAGTATAGTACTGCGAGGGTCTCACTTTTACTTGGCCCATGCAGTGTGACAGTCTTTAGCGTAACAGGTGAATAACCAAAGACTTAAACGATCAATAGTTAACTGGCAAAAGGACAAGCGTTGCACAACTTAACTGGACTGAGTTAACATGCTTGGTTGTGTGTGTGTGTGTGTGTGTGTGTGTGTGTGTGTGTGTAAATACAAGCTTGTCTAGGTGTTCCACATCCATCATGGCCTTCCGTTGGAGTGAATACTATTCGTGTGACCACTTAGTCTAGACCCGAGTGAATGGTATGCCCCAATGATAAGATTCCCTTGCGTCGCGTCTCCCTCCACGTTAATGTCGCCCATGTTTGTCCGCATTTCAAACAAGATATCTGGAACCGAATCCCCGCTATTCCTCGTTCTGTCGTCGATACTGCGGTTAAATCTTCAAGTTGTCAATTTGATGAGCCGCCTATTTGCCGGTTAATCTCGGTATTGTGCACCCGACTCCAACTTACATCCTGATGACCCTATGGAGGATGAAATCAGTTGTGCGCTGTCGAAAAATTTTCAGCAAACTGGTGAGTAGTGTGCCCCAAAAATCCAAATTTTGTCTATCCGAGAACAGTTTCCCTTATCGAGTAACAGGGTTCGAAAAGAATCACTGATGCGCTTTTGGTGGCTCTCCAATGCCAGAGGCATCACCAGTCACAGTGACAGGTTGAGTAAGGTAGCAAATTGTCGCTTTCGTAGGACAGGATTCGTTTGAGACCATCAGCTGAAGACTGACATGTAGGAGAGCGAACCCACTCGGTTTCATTGCATAACCACTTTTAGGCGCTCTTAGTGAATTCATGTTAGGCGCAAAAAATCACTGTAGTGCATTAGGCTCAAGGATGGCTGTAGCTCTAATCCAAAGTTTAGAGAGAACAGTGTTTTACTGGTAGTGACTTTAGCAGGATCTGAATATAGCTTCCACGTCACCCGAAAGAAGAACAAAGGCTGAGGTACTGCCTGATAGCCCAAACCAAAACAAGAACAGTTGAAGAGCCGAGGTTGGGTTCAGACCCCTGAATCTCTCAGTTCGTAAGTTCGCGCCTTTGATCAATGATTATCACAGATAAAATCAAATCCCAAGTATTTGATACGCGAAGGCGTCCTTGAGGTTCAGTGTGTATGTATTTACACGACTAAAACTTGTCCTGTGTGTGTGCCACCACTCCGGGACTTGCAGTGATTATTTGTCAACTTGGGAAATGGCGAACGAAACCCGCTTAGTGTGATACCTGCCGAAATAGAGATGGCGCACATCCTAAAGTTACGGCGCTCTTCGATGCGTGAATAGGGTTTAAAAGCTTTTAAAAGAGCTTGAGAGCTCGAGAAAGGTACAGACTTACTGATCGGAAGGTCGGCGGTCCAATTGTTAATCTCGTTTATGATTTACTGTGTGCCAACTGACGATACTTCATCGTCTTCTAGTGGCGTTCACTCTCGTCTTGCATTCACTCCTGATTTTACCAGAGGCGACTAGTTTCTGTTGTATTTTTCCACATATCCCCGTACCTAAATTTTAGCCAACCTTGTTTGGCTAAATAGAACGTGAATGTGCAAGTTACCAAGTTATTATGAATGTGCATGGTAGAAGTGTATGACAGGTGAGTAATTAAGTGTAAAACGATCGCTCTACCTTGCAGAAACCATACTGAGCAAAATCCATAGGTTGCTATTCCGTTTAACTTCAGATAGAGATACCGTCGTAATAAATGCAGGTACTACATTATCATTTATTTTTGAAGAGCATGGTCACAAACATAAAAAGTGAATGCAGGCGATAAATGCGAAAGAGTAACAGGAGAATAGGGGAGAAAAGAGAGAAACGTCTCATTCGGGATCATGCCAAGGACAGTGCCAGTCTGATGAGGTGAATCCCAAAGTATGTAAAGATTTTGGTATGGGAACACGCGTCTAAAGACCAACAACCAGAGAAAGGACAAACAATGGTGAATGCTCTTCAAGGCGCAGTGTGCGCTAGCACAGTCAAGACTCGCACATCAGGCACAAAGTGACCGTCATACTGGGTCTGGGGTGAGATTAAATGGCAAAAATGTACCTTCAACGCCATGTGCCACGCATAAAAGTGTCATAAGTACGCAGGGAGCCCACAATGGCAAGCAAACACAAGTCACTGACTGCGACCTTAGGAAGTCCCAGTCCAATAACAGCCTTAGCGGATTGAGGAAAGCAGATCCCTCGATAAGAGATGATCATCGGTTGGTTAACCAAGAAGTCGATACTACTGCCACTACACAGGTGATACTTCCTTCGGACAACTAGTGTCCTCCAAAATACCACTAACTATGGACGATCGAGACTGCCTCTGGTGCATCTCGGCCCCAAAAGTGTGAATTAGCAGGAGCCAAAGATGGCATCATTTGTGGATAGCAGAGTCCGACACTTCGTTCTACTGACGCGCAGAACTCCTTGCTCCAACAAGCAGGTACGACTTATTTCGTACTACTAGCCTTTGAGTTGGAAGTACTCTTATATACTGCTGACGGACCAACTTACTGCATATTGAACCGCCTGTTGTACATATCGTTTTGCCCTAACCAACTGTGCCTCGTGCTTGTTCGGTTGATCGGTTCCGATCTTCTGCTTCGGCCTTAATTTTAAATGCCGATAGGCAATAATAATCGCGTGTGACCTCTACACAAGTTTCCGCACTCCTGTCCGTACATCGCGTTTTACATTCCAAATTCTTGTCAACAAGCAGTCTCGAATTTCCACGCGGTTATTTCTCAGTCGAACTTTTTAAATTAGGGATCATTCGAATCATTATCATGGTTACTGATCTGGGAATCATGATTCTGTTAGGATGGCTCCTGATGAGTTGTTTAGGGAATATTTCTCCCAGTCTGGTGATGCAACGCTATCGGATATAATCTCTGTTTTTCGGCCAACCTAACTAGGGTTTTTAGATTCCTCATTTGGAAACCTGTGACAGCTGAAACTAATCAAGAGTGTAGGGGATGTACATTGACCCCAGTCACACCCGATCACGTGTGTCATTTCATACGAGTTTCGACTGTGGACATATTTGTTAACTTCGCTCACTTTCATCCGGGGACCACAGTTAACCTAAGCATGACCTCGGTGCACTGACCCCAGCCTCACTACATACCCTAAAGGGTTGGGCAGGGTAGTTGCCTGAGTTGCGGACCAACGACGATGAGCAAACGCCAGTGTACCAGCCTGAAATCAAAAACACCATTCGGACTGGATTTGTTCATCGAACGATGCGAGACTTCTCATGGCGGCGAACAAGGCGGGGGAGCTCTGCGCTCCAGGGAGTCCGACTGTCTCAGAAATAGACCCACTGTCCAAGGGTTCGATTTCAGCGATATGGTAAGTTACGTATTAAGTCGTTGCCCCGGTAGCTTCCACTGCTGTCCCACCGGTGAATCAGCAGATTTCGGCACACTCTCGATACTGGACATTTATCGGGGTCGTCGATTGACTGCTGACCTTTCCGTCTTGTTGCGCTTTTCATCCATGTCAGGGCTGGTTTGTTCACGTCGTAGGTTCTCCAGTTAAACCAGATCGGTCTAGGCACGCGAAAAGCATTTAGACCGTGAATGTAATCCAAAATGCTTGTTTATACCACGCAGGTTGAAAGAATGCCCTCTGGTCAGGGGCTTCATTCTCAGGATAAAAGCGTCCGGAGGCCAGCCGTCCCTAATAACCGAACATCACAGCATTTGGAGGGATGTGTCACGTGGAGGACACAGACCAAACGAAGGCATGCCATGATTGGTCAGAATGCCAGCCAATC